CCTGAAGGGTGTCCTGGATCAGGTTGGGGGTCCCCACTGGGGTGCCTGGCCAGTCTGGGTGAGGGGCTGAGGGCTGTTTTCCCGCTGGCGAGTGACTAAAGCTTCCAACCGCTCCTTGTTTTCATTTTTTTTTTTTTATTCTGGGCCAGCTTTAGCTCGGAGGCCTTGCTGCTGAAAACATTGATACAATGTTGCGGTCCAGCTGGCTTTCAGTCCGGCTGGTTTCTGGGGTTTTATTTAGCTTCTTATTTGCAACATAGTACATAGTTGCTTAGAGTTGCAGCTGAGAGGCCAGCAAGTTAGGCGGGGAACGTTGGAGTCCGCAGTCACTGGAGCAAGCAAGCCTCCCTGCTCGCTTCAGTACATGGCTGCCGGCCGCCATCTTGGTTGTCAGTTAATTTGCATATACTCACTGATTAGCCAATGAAAAGGGTAGCGGTCGTATGCTAATTACCATGTTTCTCTTTTATTAGTGTAGATGATGAGTTTGAGCTGATACATATTAACTTCTCTAAACACTCACCAGGATTAACTGTGACCTTTGGTGTGGCCTGGTGGTGGGAAGTTGCAGTGAGTATTGTGGATTAGTTTAGAGCAGCGGTTTTCAACCTGTGGATCATGACCCCTTTGTTGGTCGAACAACCCTTTCACAGGGATCGTCTAACTCCATCGTGCATATCAGATATTTACATTACGATTCATAACAGTAGCAACATTACAGTTATGAAGTAGCAACAAAAATAATTTTATGGCTGGGTTACAACCTGAGGATCTGTATTTAAAGGGCCAGAAGGTTGAGAACCATTGGCTTAGAGGCTTGAGTGTTCATCTGTGAAACTCACTGAGCATGATGCAGAGGGCCATCGGGGCTGGGACTTGAGTGAAGGTTCAGTGAGACATGTTGGCAAGCATTCTCTGGTCAACACATGCTGAGTAATAACAAAGAGGCCAAGGAGAGGACTATGGGGGCGGGGGTGAGGGAATGCAGGTGTGAGCCAGTTTGGTAAAGAGTGATGTGCACTTGAAAAGGGAATGTGAATTGATGGCCACAGGACCCTGATACTGACATAAGAGTGAATGAGGGAAGAGTCCATTTCTGGTGGTGTCTGGATGATCCAATAAGGTGAATTTTAGGGTAATTGCCTGTCAAGTGGGATGTTTTGGAGCTCCACTTGAGTTACAGAGCTTAGGTGCCATTTCACTAACCACCTGCCTTTTGTTGTTGGGGATGACACCCTAGTTAATACAACCCAGTCTTCAAAATCTCCACTGGCATGGGTAAGGGGTAAGAGATTATGAAGATGGTGAACTATAATTTTGGGAAAAAAGGTGATAGGAAACAATGTTTCCTTGCCACAGCAAATTTGCCTTACCTTTGCAGTTGTGCTTCTGGGAATGAAGCTGTGTGAGAGAAGTGTTGTTTCAAAGAACTCTGTGCAACAGGTAGTGCAAAGTTATGGCCTCAGCACCTTGTGATTTGGTTTAAGAGGGTGAAGTGTGATGCCATGTTTTTGGTGTCTTTGAGAAACAATCTGGGGGTATTGCCTGACAAGACCAGTATCAAATCACTCACACTATCTTTATCGCCAGCATCTCTCTTTAACATGTGGTTTCGACACTCAATATGTTGATAAAAGTCAGTGAGGTGTATACGGGAGGCCCAGAGCTCAGGTATCTTTTATCTGCTCAAATGCTTTAATATAGTGGGAAGACAAAATGTCAGTAGGAATATAAGAAGACAGTGGCTTTCATGGGATGAAGGCCTGCTATTTTCTCTGATGTGGAGAGTGGACCGAGCAGATGGATGTGGAGGGTGGGCAGTATGACAGACTTAGAATCTTAGAAGTGAAGCTGATCTTGGGCTGTACTGTCCCTATTATGACAGGATATGAACTTTGAGGACGTTGCCATTGTCTTCTCTCAGGAGGAGTGGGAGCTCCTTGATGAGGCTCAGGGACTTCTCTACTGTGATGTGATGCTGGAAGTTTTTGCACTTGTGTCATCTGTAGGTAAGATTTCCACTTACTCCCAGTGTCATGAGGTGATGACCTCTGTTCCTTTATTCCTCAGGCATAGCTTTCTCTCTCCTGCAGCGACAAAATGGCCTCTGCTAATTTTCCCCACTGTCTTGTCAAATGTGCTGTGGCTGCCAGGAATGAGCTGGGTGGAGAGTCCTGAGTAAAGGACTCCACAAACATCCCTAACACCTGTTACATCAAAAAGTATAGGAAACAGAAAGTCAGGAATCTTCTAGTGAGTTTAATCGGTCCCAGCTTGCACTCACTCTTCATGGGAGGCTGACAGTGTCCATACGCATGGCTTCAACTTCTGCCTGCTTTCTCTACATAAAGGTCCGTTATGCCATGTTATGGTCTTTACTTACATGAACCATGGCCTGTTCTTGTGAGACATTCAGTCAGTTGTTTGTTATATTCTCTTCCCTGAATATGATAGCAAGCTGTGTTGCTCTGGCCCAGTGCTGACCACTCACCTCTTCATCACCTGTTCCTTTGCACTGGTGCCTCTGCAGTATTTTGCAACATTGACTTGCACATGTGTTATGAGGTGCACATACGTGCTAATTAGTCCTTGAAACCAGCTAATCCTTTATTGAATTTTACGTGGAGTAAGACCTAACCAATCTCTTTACAGCTCATCCCCGTCCCCAGCCGACAAGCCGTGCTGAATGCTGTTAGTTGAAGTATTAGCTGGAGACCCATATTCTCACCCATGTGGTGCTTGCCATGTTTGTGTCTTATTTCTGCTGAGGCCTCCCTATTTTGTGATCTTCATTAGCCCAGGAAGTTACAAGAGCCTCTTATTAACACTTCCTGCAAAGCTCTTATTTTCTGACAATTGCATGGAACCAACATGTGATGTGTAATACACTTTTGTAATGGGACTTCCCCTGTCACCACTGTCAACATTCATTTCCTCACCATTTCTCACTTTTCAGGTTGTTGGCATAAAATCTACGGTGATGAGGCCTGTTCTGATCAGAGTGTAGGAGAGTCACAGGTCAGAGATTCTAAGACAGCTCCAGCCACCCAGAAGATCCCTCTGTGTAAATGGTGTTTCTTTGTGTTAAAATATATTTTGGACCTGACTGGGTTACATGCAGCCGACTTTGAGCAGAAAGCCTTTTGTAGTGACACATGTGTTGGAGACTCCTGTTCCTGTGCAAACCCTCACCAGCAACAGAGGAATGAATGTGGTCAGGGGCCCTGGAAACAAGCTATGGAGAAGGCCTCCTTTGTGAGTAGGTCCAACTTCTTATCGTTGGTGCCTTCCACGAGCAGGGAGGTTGGGGAACACTTGCAGTACAACTCAGAGCTTCTCCGGCACCAGGCCACTCCCAACACTGAGGACCTACACTGTGACAGTGAGGTTTCACAGCAATTTCTTGATGGAAATAGTCTTCACCAGTGGGGTGAATGTGAAAACGCTGCCAAACACAACCTGAAAGTTGTTCAACATCAGGGTGTGTGTTCTGGAGAACTGGTTTATGAGTGTAACAAATGTAGGAAAGTGTTTAGACAACACTTAAACGTCATTCAAAATAAGAAAGTCCACACTGGAGAAAAGCAGTATGAGTGTAGTGAATGTGGGAAGTTCTTCAGAGAAAGACCTGCACTCATTAAACACCTGAGAGTTCACACGAGAGAGAAGCCATATGAGTATAGACCTTATGAGAAATCCTTCAGTAATAAGTCTGCCCTCAAACTACACAACAGAGTTCACACGGAAGAAAAGCCATATAAATGCAAAGAATGTGGGATATCTTTTCGTCAATGGATTCACCTCAATCTACATCTTACAATTAACACTGGAGAGAAGATGTATGAGTATACTGAATGTGGGAAAACTTTTACTTTAAAATCTCGTTTTATTAAACATCTGGGAGTTCACACTGGAGAGAAGCCATATAAGTGTACTGAATGTGGGAAGTCTTTTAGCCGAAAATCTCACCTTATTAAACACCTACGAGTTCACACTGGAGAGAAGCCATATAAGTGTACTGAATGTGGGAAGTCTTTTAGCCGAAAATATCACCTTATTAGACACCTATGAGTTCACAGTGGCGACAAGCCATATGAATGCTCTGATTGTGGAAAGTCCTTCAATGGTAACTCCACCCTCAAACAACACCAGAGAGTTCACACTGGAGAAAAGCCCTATAAGTGTACAGAATGTGGGGTGTCATTTCGAAAAAGGGCTCACCTCATTGTACACCAGAGAGTTCACACTGGAGAAAAACCATATGAGTGTAGACAATGTGGGGTGTCCTTTCGTCGAAGGGCTAACCTCACTGTACACCTCAGAGTTCACACTGGAGAGAAGCCATATGGATGTACTGAATGTGGGAAGTCTTTTAGCCATAAATCCAACCTTACAAGGCACTTGAGAGTTCACAGTCTCAACAAGCCATATGAGTGCTGTGAGTGTGGGAAGTCCTTCAGTGATAAGTCTATCATCAAACAACACCAGATTATTCACACTGGAGAAAAGCGGTATGAGTGTAGTGAATGCAGGAAGTTCTTCAGAGAAAGACCTGCACTCATTAAACACCTGAGACTTCACACTGGAGAGAAGCCATATGAGTATAGACATTGTGAGAAATCCTTCAGTAATAAGTCTGCCCTCAAACTACACAACAGAGTTCTCACAGGAGTAAAGCCATGTAAATGCAGAGAATGTGGGATATCTTTTCGTCAATGGACTCACCTCAATCTACATCTTCGAGTTTACACTGGAGAGATGTATGAGTGTACTGAATGTGGGAAATCTTTTACTTTAAAATCTCGTTTTATTAAACATCTGGGAGTTCACACTGGAGAGAAGCCATATGAGTGTACTGAATGTGGGAAGTGTTTTAGCCGAAAATCTCACCTTATTAGACACCTATGAGTTCACAGTGGCGACAAGCCATATGAATGCTCTGATTGTGGGAAGTCCTTCAATGGTAACTCCACCCTCAAACAACACCAGAGAGTTCACACTGGAGAAAAGCCCTATAAGTGTACAGAATGTGGCGTGTCATTTCGTCAAAGGGCTCACCTCACTGTACACCTGAAGAGTTCACACTGGAAAAAAAACATATGAGTGTAGACAATGTGGGGTGTCCTTTCGTCGAAGGGCTGACCTCACTGTACACCTCAGAGTTCACACTGGAGAGAAGCCATATGGATGTACTGAATGTGGGAAGTCTTTTAGCCATAAATCCAACCTTACAAGGCACCTGAGAGTTCACAGTGGCGACAAGCCATATGAGTGCTGTGATTGTGGAAAGTCCTTCAGTGATAAGTCTATCCTCAAACAACACCAGGGTGTTCACACTGGAGAAAAGCTGTATGTGTTTAGAATGTGGGATGTCCTTCCCTTGAAGGGCTCAGCTCACTAGACACCACAGAGTTCACACTGGAAAGAAGTATTAAATGTGCAGGGAATTTTTTTTCTCACTAAGTATAACAACACTGAAGGCGAGTCTTTGAGACCTATTTTTCTGAATTTAAACCCCTTTTAATGGAACATGCACTCTGATATATTTCTCATCGGTTTCAAGTACAAGTGAGGCTTTAAGTAGCTGCACTATACTTGCTAACGTGCCCAGACCTACTACCTGATTGGTGCCACAGTGAGCATTTGTGGCTGAAGATATTTCACCTCTACCACCTGGCTCACCTGAAGAGTGTGCATCAGTCCCAGCCTCTGTGTGCTCAGGGGAAATGTATTCTGTGTTTTCACTTGTGCTTGAGAACATTATGATTACTTCAAGCTCTTGACAGGATCTTCCTTCCTTTCTGACTAGGGAATACATTTGCCTCAGAGTTTGTCCAGACCACCCATCCTCAGCTAAGCAGTGCTACCACTTTCAGGGACATTGTGGGTCTCACATTATGCTTTTATGAATTGTTTTACTTTATAATTCACAAACCTGCAAATTGCTTACTGTCCTCTGTTCTGGTTTATGATCTTTAGTAAAGATGTTTTTTCTTTCGTAACTTTGTTTTTTTAATTTCACTGTCTGGATGATTTGATACAAAAGTTGTGATCTATTATCATGGCAAGATGAACAAATATGGTGGGCTCCCAAACTTTCTGTGCTTTAGAAAGCTATAATAATGTCAGAAAAGTCACTCTTTGTCCCAAAATGGCTTATTTTATACCACTGACCAAGGCAATGAAAGAAAGTTTGCATAACTTTGTGGTTCCAATTTTCAGCCTGGTGCCTCTAATGTTGGTGAGGTCAGTGTTCCACAAATGGAAGAGTCGTTTTTTGTGCTTCTGTCATTGTTCTCACATTATCCTCTGATGAGTTGTTTTATGTCCTAATTCACCACCCTACAAACTGCTTGTTGTCCTCTTTTCTGGCTTATGATCTTTTAGTAAAGGTGTTTTTTGCTTTTGTACCTTTAATTTTGAGGGTTATATTCACTGCCTGGGATGATTTGAAAGGATAGTTGTGATCTGTCAGCATGGAGAGGGGAACAATATGGTGGGGTCCCAAACTCTATGTGCTTTGGAAGGCACATTATAATGGCAAAAATCCCTCTTTGGCCAATATTGCTTTATTTTCTATTGCTGACCAAGGCCTTTAAGGAAAATCTGCATGACTTTTGGTTCTAATTTTGTAGCCTGGTGCCGGTATTATTGGTGAGGTCAGTGATCACCGAGAAGAAGAGTCCTTTGTTGTGCTTCTGTGAACAATATGGATTATATTCTCTGTTCATAGTATGTCTTACGTACTGCAAAGGAGCCCTGAGCCATGTTGTGTGAAATATCACAGGCTGGTTTCATTTGTTGTAACACTGTGAAGTGCAACTAATATTGGGATAAACACTGTTTTCATAGTGAGTGGAGGAGACATCAGTATATAGGATGAAAATTGCCTCTTCTGAACATTATTCACAAATGACCCAGTCCTGTAGCTTCTTTGTTCTTTTTGTAGCTGAAGTGATTGGTTGCGAAAAGAATCTCATGTTTTTGGGGCTTCCCTGGGCCCCTCTATGGTGTTCACCTCAAGGCTATCACAACAGGCAAAAACTCAAAGCTAAAGGAAGGGTAATCGTATAATTAGTCCCAGGTTGTGTGTTTTGTGACAATTCAGCATTCCTGATCGTTCTGTTTTCTAACAACAAAGGGATAGCTATGTTTTTATTTGGATCCACAATTAAGGCTTTACTTGCTAGGTGTACTGGGTAATGATGGTGGATTTTGTAATCAAAGAAACCATGATAATTTCAAGAGAAATATCAAAAATGCTTTATTCAAAGTAATGTTCATCACTAGCTGCACATTTCCTCCATCTTTCAGGTAATTTGTGGATACTGTCCCAATAGAACTTTTTCTGTTTTGAGGCAAACCATTCAGAGACCCAATTTTCCATTTCTTCGTACGTGTTGAAGTGCTGCTCAGAAAGTGCGTGTGCCAGCGAGCGGAACAAGTAGTCATCTGAAGGAGCAAGGTCTGGTGTATATGGTGGTTGGGTTAATACTTTCCAGGCAAGATCTTTTAATGTGTCTTTAACTGGTTTTAAAGTGTGTGATGATTCATTATCATAAAGCAAAATTACATTGTCGTATTTTCTGGCACAGTCTGATCATTTTGTAATCAAAGCGTGGTTCATATTGATTATTTGTTGTTGGTAGCAATCAGTATTAACGGTTTCACCTGGTTTTAGAAGCTTATAATATACCCCATCTTCCTGATCCCACCAATTCTTTCCAAAGTGATTTAGCCTTGCAGTCGATGTTGATGGTTGACTTAGATCAACCCATGATTTTGTGCATTTGGGATGGTCAAAATGAATCCACTTTTCATCGCCAGTCACAATTCGATGCAAAAAAATACTTTCTTTTGTGCTGTTGAAGCAACATTTTACTGATGACTTTTCGGGTTTCCATTTGTCTTTCTTTCAGTTAATGTGGCACACATTTTCCTTCCCTTAAAATCTTTCCCATTGGTTGTAAACAATCAGAAATTGTTTGCTGAGCAACGTTTAATCTTTCTACAAGTTGTTTGTGTTTGACACGCATCTTCATCCAATAATGCTTGTCATTTTTGGTCTTCAAACTTTTTCGGTTGACCTGGACGTTCTTTGTCTTTCACATTGAAATCATCACTTTTAAAGTGTTTACACCAGCATTCACAAATATCTTGAGATGCTGCATGTTCACCATAACTTCCTGAAGTATACAATAACTTTTTCTTCAAAATAAAGTAATGAATTAAAACTTTCCGAAAATGCTTTTTTTTGCACAAAATTCGACATTTTTAAGTGTAAAAATATCTATGATGTTATCACCTTCAACAGATTTGACATGAAATTTTGAAGTTTGTTGTCAATACAACAAAATGGCATGCATATATATCAACATATATGCAACTCCATCTATTGAAAAAAAAAAATGCATTATGAACTGGTACACCTAGTATGTATATGTATAATGGCCATGCAACCAAAAGCACTTTTCTAATGTGTACTAATTAGTGAGGCTGAACATATGGATAAAGCTCAGAAACTGTCAAATGTAAAATATGCTTCTCTGTTACCCATACCCATGGTGGGGCAAAAGTATGCTTACAGTTGTGAGTATGCAAACCCCAAAATTTATTTTCTCATTTTAACTAACTATATATATATATATCCTATATAATAATAGACAAACATGGTAATTAGCTGTACCTCCGCTACCCTTCCCATTGGCTAATCAGGGCGATATGCAAATTAACTCCCAACCAAGATGGCGGCCGGCAGCCAGGCAGCTGGAAGTGAACGGGAGGCTTGCTTGCTTCAGTGACGGAGGAAGCCAACGTTCCCCGCCTGCCACTGCCGGCCTCTGAGCTTGCTCTCTAAGAAACAATGTTACAAATATAGAAGCTAAACAAAACTCCAGTAACCTGCTTTCAGCCAGTCGGACCTCAGAGCTGGAGTTGAAACAGTGTTTCGATTATAGAACTCAAACAAACCAGATGCCTGCTTTCAGCCAGCAGGGTTTCAGCCAGCAGGACCGCAACAGTGTTACAATTATAGAACCCAAACAAAGCCAGTACCTGCTTTCAGCAGCGGAGGCCTCAGAGCTGGAGCCAAGCCTCAGAGCTAAAGCTGGCCCAGAATTGAAAAAAAAGAAAAAAGGGAGAGGTTGGGAGCTTCAGTCACCTGCCAGCCTGAAAACGGCCCTCAGCCAAACTGGCTAGGCACCCCAGTGGGGACCCCCACCCTGAAGGGGGTGTGACCAGATGCAAACAGCCATCATCCCCTCACCTAGGCTGGCCAGGCACCCAAGTGGGACCCCCACACTGATCCAGGACACTCTTCAGGGCAAACCAGCCGTCCCACACCCATGCACCAGGCCTCTATCCTATATAGTAAAAGGGTAACATGCCTCCCAGCACCGGGATCAGCGGAGCCACGAGGACTCCTGGCCCCTGGAGCAGCGTTACAGGGGCCAGCGCCCAAACCCCCTGATCGCCCTGCGGCTCTGTGTGTGACAGGGTGCGGGGCCACAACCTCCCTATCCCCCCTGCTCTGTTCGTGATGGGAAGGCGCCCAACCCCCTGATCAGCCCTGCTCTGTGCCTGATGGGGGGAGCTCCCCATCCCCCTGATCGCCCTGTGGCTCTGTGTGTGACTGGGTTCAGCGCCCCAACCCCTTGATCAGCCCTGCTCTGTGTGTGACAGGGTGTGGCGCCCCAACCCCCCACCCCCCACTGGCCCTGCTCTGTGTGTGACGGGGTAGAGCCATAACCTCCCCATCAGCGCTGCCCTGAGTGTGACAGTGGCCGCTCCCCAACCCCCTGATCGGCCTTGCTCTGTGGGAGATAGAGGGCGGCACTCCAACTCCCTGATCCGCCCTGCTCTGTGTGTGACAGGGGGCGGTGCCCCAACTCCCCTATCGGCCCTATTCTGAGCGTGACTAGGGGTGGCATCGCAACCTCCCGATCCTCCCTGCTCTGTGCATGACAGGGGGTAGTGCCCCAACTCCTCAATCGGCCCTGCTCTGAGCACGACCAGGGGCTGCCCTTAGGGATTGGGCCTGCCCTCTGCCACCTGGGAGCAGGCCTAAGCCAGCAGGTCGTTATCTCCCGAGGGGTCCCAGACTG